AAAAAATGACCCCCCTGTTCAACTATATAGATTAAAATTTAAAAATATACCCCCCCCCCAATTGCACTAGGCATTTCTAGGCATCAAACCTCAGTGCATCAAATATTCAAATTATAAGGCCTCGCGAAATTGCTAATTCAATATAATATCGAGTCATATATAAAAGCAAGATTGCGTATTTTGGCATTCAATACAAAACAGGAAAACGTTATACAAAAATATCATATTAATGAATGATATAAACATGTAAAAGTAAAAATGCAATAATATTTATATATTATTATAGAATGTAGATAAAAAATACCTTTTTTTGAAACATTTTCCGCCATGTTTTTTTTTAGGTGTAAACCATTGACTGCAATCATTCCGTTCAGCGGAGTCACTAAGGGCCTGTTCATATGATCCCGCTTACCAGGACGTCTCGCTTACCGATGATCTCGCCGCCTATCTATTTTCCTATAAAGTTTTGCATTGTGTTCATATGAGAAAGCGACCTGGCCCGCTTGCCGAGATCTCGTTTGAATTTGCCGAGATCATAGGTAGGCGGGATGCAAATTTTTCCATATGAACACGCCAGCCCGCTTACCTGGATGAAGTCAAACAAGTCTTGCCGGTTTAATTTAACACTTTTTACTTGGTTTTATGTTTGTTTTGTAAACAAGTATTAAATAAGCATCTGAAGAAATACTTTTTCTTGTAAATAAACGAAAAAAAGACACTAAAATCGCTAAGTATTTGTGTTGCTTGACTGAAATGTAGAAGTTTTGCATACGCTATTAATTATAGAACTACAATGTAATTTCATCTCGGCAAGCGGGACGAAATATTCCATATGAACGCACGGAAATATTCGTCTCGGTAAGCGAGACGTCCCGGTAAGCGGGATCATATGAACAGGCCCTAAAAACCATTGAACTAAACTTTCAACTATAAAGAGTTGAATGCTAAGAACTAGATTCCAGTCTTCTCTATGCAAAAATTGCACACAATGGCGCAATCTTGCTTGATTAGTTTGTATTTGTTTTTCTTTTTTTCAAATTCAAAATGGTAGATATATTTTGAATTTATCTCATAAACCAAATAAAGTCATTTTAATATGTAAGAATCGTTTGCAATTTCAAAATTTAACCCCCCCCCCTCTTTTCCTTTCGGGAAACAAAAAACTACCCCCCAAAAATAACCATATTTAAAAAATTAACCCCCCCTCAAAAACCACCGCCCCCCCTGAGACGTAATAAACGATCGGTCCCTTACGAAGGGCAAACGTCAGGTACATTTGCATGTTTTTGGTCCTGTTTTCTATGTATTTGTAAAGTAATTTGTTTCTTGTAGCGTAGTTTATAATGTATTTGTATTGTTTCTATAGAAACCACCTTTAAAGCGATGTTTTGCACGAAAATATATTGATATATGAATTTAATATGGATTCAATTTTATACGTGGTGCGTTTCGGATAATCCCTTTCAAGAACAACATGGTATATAGTAACGCGCGAAGTTTATGGTTCGGATCTTCCACAATACTATTAAATCGCACAATGTATATAAATTTTCGCACAATGTATATAAATTTTCGCACAATGTATATAAATTTTCGCAGAATATTTCCCGCCATTGCATGAGATTATAAGAGTTCCGATTTAGCAAGAGCTTCAATAGTAAGACAAGTCTGGATGAATGATCTTGAGTGCTCGCCGTTGAATCCTCTCATTAGAGACCTTACGATTTTAGGACGGCAACCATGGCAACGGCTACCAATACAATAGATCATTGAAAAGAATTGAATAATTACAATATATGAATAATTTAGACTTGTCCTCGCTCTGTTTACAACGCCAAATCACAGATTTTCACGTCTTGATACAACAGCTGCATTCCAAGCCGCAACAAGTGCAACTTCAAACTGGATTCAGCAGAACTCTTCCCAACCATAAAACCCATGTCTTCAACTTCTAAGACTGTATTAAATTCATACGATTGATAATATACGACGAATTATCTTTACTACCATTTATTTGAAGGAGTTTATTTTGGCCGTTGTCGTCGCGTTGCCGTCCTAAAATCGTAAGGTCTCTAATAGCATCGCTCAGGTAACGTGGCAGACTATATATGGTGAACAGGGCCGTTGCCAGGATTTTGCCTTGGGGAAGGGGGGGGGGATGTGAGGTTAGATTTACCTGAATTTTTTCAACTTGACGTTTTTAACTGATTTTGCGATGAGGCGCCACCATGGTTGGTGCTGAGAAAAATTGTTTGAAAATTTCAGTGACGTCTCTAGACCGTCGGAAATGGCAGTTTTAGAGTCTTTCGTAGCCAAGTATTTCGATATTTTAGTATTGCCTAACAATGAAGATAAAGCTTCGGATACACGAGCAATATTTTTGCTGCGATGGTTACGCAATGGGTGATAACAGCATTGCGTTGCCGTCGCACAAGGTGGCTACAACCTGCAATATTTCACCTGCAATATATGTCTTCATAACGCTTTTTATTGGCTGGTCAAGAAACGTGTCATTCATCAACCTTGACCTTCCTTGACCACACCTCCCAATTTTCGGCAATCATTGCCGAAAATCAAATGATTTGAAATTTCGGCAACGATTGCACGCAGCTTTGCATTGCCGTCGCAGAGCATGATACACGAGCAATTTCTTTCTCGGGACGGCAATGCAACGATTTTACCACCATTGCATTGCCATCGCTAGAAATGTATTGCCCGTGTATCCGTAGCTTAAGTATTGTTACTTACAGTTTAATTTGACGAGGAAAATTGCGAAAATTTGGAGTTTCCAATCCAGATCGTCAGAAAGGGTATTTCAGTGGCCATGTCCCCCCGCTGTCATGACGCGTGTCAACGTCTTTAGTTGGTCGATTGTTAACCTAATTCTGATTCAGAGCATAGAGTTCACTTTTTTATGCGCTGAGAATTACCTGAATTTACCTGAAAATCTACTGGAATTGCTCATGAGTAATTATTGGTAGGCATGTCCCGATAGTGCTCGGCAACTTTTGAGCAACTTTTTGCATTTGGAGCAACTTTTTTCGTTTCGAGCAGGGCCGCCCAGAGGTTGGCGGGGGCCCGGGGCAAATTTTTTTTTTAGGGGCCCCTATCTAAAAAAATTTTCCCGGAAAATTTTTTTTCCGGAGAACAACTTCCCCCCCCCGTCGCCAAAAAATTTTCGATCAGTGTACCATTTTAGGGGTAAAATATTTTTTCCGGAGTACAAAATTTTTCCGGACAAGTACGTTGCAATTGCTTTCGAGGGACTTTATCTCATTTTTTATGCCAAAATTCGGTACTTAGCCCAAGAAAACAGATATCTTGTCCTTTGCGCGGAAATATTTAACACACAAAAAAGGCTGGGTACCAACCAAAATTTTTCAGGGGCCCCCAGCAAGGCGGCCCTGGTTTCGAGCAACTTCAAATAACTTTTTCCTTTTTGAGCAACTTTTTCCTAGAGTTCAAACTTTCAGTATGAAATGTTTACATGTGATCGGACAACTTCATTTTCATGCCTTTTTGATTTTTCATTTCGGGCAATTTTTGAGGAACTTTTATGCTTTTTAGAGAGCAACTTTTTGGATCAAGAGAGCAACTTTTTTTTATTTTATGAGCGCAATCGGGACATGCCCAGTTATTGGGTGGTGTTGCACCCCTTTCTTTGTTGTTGATTTTCACAGGTGTCGGGTCTTTCGTACTTGGCAAAACACACACGCATCTCCTACACTAGCTTGTCCTTGTTCAGGATAAACTTTAGGTCGCCTGACTGATCTTGTATCTCATCTCACTTGTAGTTTCTTTGGGGACTTCTTCCGCAATGGTGGTGTCATCTATATACGAATTTCCAAAGATCGACTCCAACGAATTTCCAAAGATCGACTCCACTGGCGTAAATATATAGCCAGGGGCCGAGTTTGGTTCCTTAAAAACAAAACATATTAACAAAACATATAGTGAACATATTACAGATAAAATAGAGACGATGATTTTCTTTAGTATTTTCCGTTGAACAGAAAGCTTGGGTACAATTAGTTTGCATATTATGTGAGGGAAGTCTTTGACAGTTTCCACTGAAGGTTTCGCAAATAGTTTCTATCCGGCTATATGTTTATATAGGATAGAAACTATTTGCGAAACCTTCAGTGGAAAGATGTCAAAGACTTCCCTCACATAATATGCAAACTAATTTATATGGCATTTTTCACTACTGACATACGGTACAATTTATGGTAGCTATTTCAATGATAAGATATCGTAGAATTTTTTATAAATAACCAAATGCAGAACAAAATAATAGTAGTTTTTGCGTATCCGCAATATATTTTCTCGACAAGATAGAAATTATGACCAGACATTTGCCAAATGCTCCAATGAAGAGGACAAAAATAGCCGAAGAAAATCGGTCTTTAGAACTCAGTTCAGTAGTGAAGTTGCTAAAAGTTATGTTCAGTTTGATGAAATTTGTGTTCATCTTGAGGACGATTACAGGGTACAGTTTATATGTAATAGTAATACAAGTATTATATTTCAATTTCTATTAATTTTCACTGCGTTTCATTTTCACGGCGTTTATATTGTAGATGCTTGATTGGCCAATACTTATCTTATAAATATCTCATATCTCATTATTTCAATAATTAAAAGCGTTTTTACTAGCATCAGTTTTGTTTACTTTTTGCATTTGCGGCTGCAATTATATCCAAAATTGCTGGAAAAAGATTGGAAAGCATTTTATAATTTTATCGATTAAAACATTCAATTATTAAATAGTATGGCGTTAAATTATTAATATTGCTCAAAATATCGACTTTGAACATATTAACCACGTCTATATGCTCTTATACTGTATGATTTGTCGGCTAATTTGTGGATAATATATTTGCATAATTATTTTTTTTTTTTGGGGGGGGGCAGTTGGATCCAGAATCAGTAGAAAGCTGTAGGCTGCTAAGAACAAAGTTCGGCAAAATATCGCAGAAGTCCTAACCCAATTAATGTACCAACTCGGGTAGGAGCGAGATAAGCAAGATTTCAAATTTCAAAAACATATAAGTAGTATTACCCCCCCCGTATAGCGGCGGAAGTGCCGTATAGCGGCGGAAGTAATTAGTATGCAGGAACGAGTAGAGCACCGGAAGTAATTAGTATGCAGGAACGAGTAGAGCACCGGAAGTAATGAGTATGCCGGAAGTAATGAGTATGCCGGAAGTAATGGGTATGCAGCAGCAATGACGTCATGGAAACCCGGAAGCAGGGAAATGTTCAGAATTGCTTACAGCGGTGAATATTTGAAAAATTTATTAAGTTTTACAGTAGTTTACAGAGATTTTGATAATTATAGTGTTTTTAGAGTTTGTGCCAGACACATCCGCAGAAGGTTAATTCGCCACATTCTAGCGAGAAATCGAATGTCAAGTTTGCCAGTATTTCGTTTAGGATTTCCGTACACTTCTTGTGGATTGTTGTTTGACAGCATCGGGTTTTCTTCAATTCTTGTCCGGTGATTTTGTTTTGTAGACACAGATAACAGAGTTCCTTGTCCGGGAATGGTGCTCTGCAGTACCCGCACCGTACGGTTTCGATATCTGTTCCAATGTAATGTGTCGCCCACATCTGGAGTGTACTGTGAATATAAATATTTATACTAGTATGTTTGTTTATATAATCATAGATTTTCACCATTAAAATTTGTTACGTTTTTAGTATTAAGAATATGTATTTTGTTTTCACGATGATGAAGTGAATTTTCGTAGCGGCATAGTATAAACACCGTTTTATTTAGGGTTTATACGCACTGTGAAATGAATAGTATAGGACTAGCGGTAATTTTATATTACATGTACATTAGTGCATTAATACTATAAATAGTTTCATCGGAGTGAAAACAGACATTACTTTGGTGTAAACTGATATTTGCCGGCCGAAAACAAGTACATGTTATGTCAAGTAATTATTAGGAATATTATCTTCCCCCATGAAATGGATCGAAAAATGATAGCTTAGGGTAAACTATCATATTAGCAGATAAGGTGTACACTGTACACAGAATGTTATTTATATCTCGTGAGTCATGGGGTTTTATAAATTAATTTAACCGGAAGTTGTCTTGCGAACTCTATAAAGTACGCCCCCGTTTTCAGTAAACGAAACAAAATATGAATTTGTGAAACACTGTCAGCAGGGTAAACTACAATTCTGATTCATTAAAATAAAGTACTATATCACTTTCTGAAGAGTCGGATGAGGAGAAGGTGTTATTCAGTTCCTCCAGCGCTACAATATTGTTAATATCAACAGCTCTTCTCTTCCTCAGTATGATGCAATATGCTGCCAAAACAATACATATTACCGATACCGTTGATGTCCCGACCGCTATAAGGGTGATGAGCAGCCCGTGCTCTCTTGTGTCTATCACAGGAGAGACAGAAGTAAACATACGTGTGAGAAGCTGCGAACCGTTTAATGTATTTAAAGATGAAACATTACCGTTGGTCGTACTCGTAACAGGCTGCGGGGTGGGAGTGGCTGTGTTGTTGTTTTTAGGACAGTCACTAAGCACGAAGATACCCGGCTCCAGCATAGAACATTTCAAAGGGTTTTCCCGTAAATCTACGAGCGACGCACCTGGAAACTCTATTAAGAACCTTGAAACGTTAAAACGGGTGATGTTGTTATTCTTAAAATCGGCAGACCTTACCCATGTCTTCACGCGGTTGCTATACGGTACATTTGTTAGCCCTCGCCCTGCACAGTTAAACAGACCAAAGTCGACATCCTCTATGCAACGTGACGCTAACAACACAGGTATTACACAGCAGAAAAAGGATAAAACATACATTTTACGTGTTGTGATGTACTACGTGTCCTTGTAAATTTTATCATGTGTTTCCCGCGCAAATACCTGCTTACGCGTGACTTTTAAATGTTTTACTGAATGTAACTATAATAGCATAAAATTAGTGCAACAGATTTTGCTTTAACTATACATAGATTTTGTTTTAACTAGACATTTTGTTTTAATTAGACATTGGATTTTTAGATAGAATTTAATACGTTGTATATAGAAGAATTGTTGAATTTGTTGTATATAATTAAATTGTTTCACATGTTGTATTCATTTGTTGTTTTATCGCAATGGAAGTGATACTAGACGAATTGCAGAGACGGGGCGTTAATATTGACATGAGAACGTTATCTCATGCTATTAATGATTTGCTTGAGCGCCACGAGGCGTTGTACAATCAAATGGTAGTGAATGTTAATCCTAATGAAATGCATATTGTTTTTAACACGATCAACGTGACTAATTTTGGCCGTGCTATGGCATACCTGACATTGGTTTATTTGATGCACGATTCTGAAGATACTACGCGCAGGGCTGTCCGCTTGGCGGCGGCCCCTCTGAGAAGCCATGATTTTAGTGCGTTTCGAATCCAGGAGAGTTTTTTCCGTAGAATGATCAGGCAGGTGTTTAAGATATAAAACGAACGGACACGTCAAATAATAACGCAGTACGTGTTGTGCACGTGAACACGATGGACGTGAGATTTAAAACGCCAGCGAACTTTTATATTTGTGGGCAGTCTCAAAGCGGAAAGTCTTATTTGGTTCGTTCTGTGTTACGGCATGTAGAGGAACTATTTAATCCCGTGCCAACCAGAATAATATACTGTTACGGTATATATCAGAAGGAATTCGAAGAAATGTTACAATCAATGCCTAATTTGACTCTCGTGGAAGGATTTCCCGATAATTTATGCGAGATGACCTGCGGACACGATAATTCGTTAGTCGTGCTCGATGACTTAATGTCTCATTGTTCCAGAGACCCGCGTGTCTCAGATTTGTTTACACGTGATTCCCATCACCTTGGCATGTCCGTGCTGTACCTTACCCAGAATTTGTTCCCGCCAGGCGAACGTTCTCGAACCATTAGTTTGAATAGTCACGTTATAGTCGTGTTTAGAAACCCACGTGACTCGCTTGGTGTTTCCACACTTGCCAGACAGATGTTTCCTAAACATACCGGATACCTCCTGGATGCATTTCACGATGCGACGAGCAGACCTTATGGATATTTAGTCATCGATTGCCATCAGCTGACACCAGAGAACATGCGTTTGAGGACCAACATTTTACCCGGAGAGAAGCAGATTGTTTATGTGAAACGTGCTTAAAAGCTGAACGTGTATTGAAAACGGTTCATTTTCAAGATGTCGAAGCGCATGAAAGGAAGTCTACCGTATCTTCAGGTCATGGGGAAATGTGGGCCAAAACTACGTAAATTCATGATCAACAGCGTTCCTCCGGAGGTCATCACCGCTATCTGCGAATGTTCCTTAAACTTGCTTAAAGGTGTCATCCCATTATCGCCTCGTCAAAAGCGACGTTTAGCGCGTTACAAGACACATCTCCGTGATTTGGCCAGTAAAAAAGTATCGAGAAAACGGAAAAAACAACGCCTTAATCAAAAAGGTGGAAATTTATTGTCAGCTCTCTTACCACCCGTGTTGAGTGTACTCGGAAGTTTGTTAGTATGAAGCATGCGAAACGCATGGTATTGGTCCCAGAGGACGTGCTTAGTCGTTATGAGCAGAAACAAAAGATTGAGACCTCCCCGGTTACAGCCAACATGATGCACCAGGATACGGCAATGTCAGAGATTCTTCAGAGTACAGACATATCCGATGCCGAAAAACAGAAATTGTACAATGCGAACATGGAAAGTTATCTGAGTTTGAGGCGGCAGAAGGACGACCAGATACCTACAGTGCGCATAGCACCGGATGCGGAACAGAAGTCCAGGGAGAAGGCGCCTTTACCTGACGCGGACGTGATCGGTCATTTACCTGTAACCCTACGCCAGAAAGCCGCAACTCTTTTGAGACGTTTGAAAGCAAGGCCCGATGTTATTTCCTGGGACGAATCCGGTCAAGTTAAAGTGGACGGTAAGGAGATTCCTGATTCAAATATATCGGATCTGGTCAGTGATGCCATGCGGGCACGTAAGAATTTTAATCCCAAGGGAGCGCAGGAATTCTTTCGCGGGCTGTCAAAGATTAATGTACCCAAAGATATTGCAAGAAACACGGAAAGATGGAATCAGGTTCAAATGGGCAGTCCATCTGGCGCGGAAGAGGTTGTTTTTAAGACACCGCCACCGAGACCACCGCCACCAACATCACCACGTGCAAGTCCCGCGAAATATCTCCGTGGTTTACTCAGAAGACAGGCGGCGAAACCAAAACAATGGCTTCCTTATTAAAAATGTAACTGTTTGCATGTAATAATAAAATGTTTTTAAAACCAATTTTGTATTGACGTCAGTTCTTTGGGGCGGTATTTTATGAACGGTTCGCATGTGGGACGTGAGTTTGTGCGCATGCGCAGAATAAAAAGAACACACAGTACAGTTTTTTACAACAATTTTATTGAAAACATCTTTTTACTGAACTGATTAAGGTTAACATTAGAATGTTTTAACAATGCCTTAAAATGTCTCTTAACAAACTGGGATACTTTTGTATCATTTAAGACCGTATCATTGTTAAATAAATGTACGATATTACTCATGCTCTGACCTCTTGCTCTATGGCTAAGGTAAAATATGCAATACTGGCCACATACATCCGACCAAACACTTTGCAATTTACGTCTATTAAAATCCCATACGCGGGACTCTAAAAAGTCTCCAAATGATTTCCTATAGTACTCGGGTGCATGCCCGTAACTGTCAAAGAATTCTCCTTTCTCTTCCGATGGAAAGTAGAAGGCGACCCAGTGGGTTCCAGGTCCACTGCTCGTATCAGTGTTCGCAACGAATCCACACGGATATCTCTCGATCGTCTGAGGTAGCTTGTCGCTAGGGAACACACCACAAAACTTCTTGCTTGTTACGGGATCTTGTTCCAGGGCATGGGTTATTTGGGCAGTGTTCATCCAGAATAATCGTAGACAACGTTTCTTTCAGAGTCGATGTGCACGGTATTCTCAAACTCTCCGTAGCATACGAGACTCACAGCGTTTGCAGGCGCTGCGGAGAACTGGATATCAATGGCTAGATTTCCTTTCTGCACCACGTTAAAATGAGGAGAGGCTCCACACATGTCCGGTGTTAAATCAAAGGCGTACATGGTGTAACCTTCTGGAAATTCTTCTCGGGATATATCGTTTCCTGTGTTGTGATACATTTTCCCCGTACCAGAAAACAGTGTGGTGAATGCTTCGATGTATTTAGGTGCTGCGCCATAGGAAAGCTGCAAGGGTTTAAATGGCATTTCTTCTCCGTTCACAGTTATTCCAAGGGAAGACACGTTGAAATGTTGAAAATTGTAGGGATTCTTTTTCAGAGCACCGTTAAACGCTTCGCTTTCGACCATACCAAGGACAATTGTTTTTGGCACCAGTCCATTGAAAAGGTTATCCTTCCTCAGGGAGGGATTCCCTGCGGGGACTATGAAACTCTTGCATTCGACGCGACGAATAGGATAGATGGCCGGTCCTTTTTTCAACGCAATTTCGTGGGCCACGGAAATGCTCGGATTGACTTTCACTTTACGTATCTTGAGATAAGCATCGGTCAGTTTCACGCGGTAATCGGCATCGTCTTCGGAGGCCATCAAACAGAACTCGTCGCTGCTTCGATTTAAAATAACTTTTAGATCTACGTAACTCAACAGGAGACGTTCGGACATGAATATGTCGCTGAATATAGGTCCTGTCATTTCAACAGTTCCACTTGCTTTGCTGAAAACGTATCTTGCTCTGAGACCAGCGTTGCCATTACCACCTGCCACCGTAGGATCCGCGACATCCATCTTTCCTGCAGTGTCTTTGTAATACAAAGCAGCAGTAAGCTGTGAATCTTTTGCGGAGGGACCATAATTCAAGAGGGTTTCCAAGTAAGCACGGTACGCGTAGGTTCCGGTAGCCTGCGTGACTTGCTTCCCTTTCAAAAAGACATCCACCTGTTTGAACAGGCTGTGGAGGAAATTGTTCACCACTCCAACCTTAAACAGATTAGAAGGAAATTAATATTTGAAAACAGTGTATTCAATATGAAAAACACCATACCTTTTCGGCTGCTCCGAGATTCGTGCCATCGGGTTTTGTCACTTTTGCTCTCACCACAAGAATCGTTCTAGCAAGGTCCACATAATCTTCAGTGCCCGGAGACAGGAACGTAATGACACCACCATCGGCTACACTGGAAACGGGCTGATGATCTACCCAGTGTCCTTTCTCTAAACTGATCTGTGTTGGGGGCACAGAGAATAGATCGAGTTCGCTTTTTGTGCATTCCTGCGATTTGGAATGTACGAGATTCATCATTTTAACCAAATATGTCCTGAGCTGTTTTCCGTCTCTTGGTCTGTCTGCGTCTGGATGTAGATGCCGATGCCTTTCTCTTTTTAACTGTTTTCCGTTTCTTGCTCTGACTGCGCCTGACTGTAGATGTCCTTCTCTTTTTAGCTGCTCGCTTTACACTCCTTGAACGCTTTACACTTCTTGAGCGCTTCCGTTTTCCGCTCCCCGTTTGACTCCTTAGTTTATTGATGGCTTTTCTTTTTGCAACATTGGCAGCCTCTAGAGTTCGTGCTTTTGCCGCTTCCTTTACGTTTCTACCAGCGAGAACGTCGCCCACAAAATCGGCACCACTCCTTAGGGCGATGTTTCCAAGAGCTTTTGCTCCGCTTTTGACCATGGGCATCACTGTTCTTGCCACGCTGCGAAACAGGCTCCCCAGGCCGTACCCTGTCTGTTGCCCATACCCTGCTTGCCAGGGGCTGCCCCTGAACACGGGCATTCCACGCCCTTGTTGCTGATCCAAATAATAACGTACGTACGGATTATTCATCTTCCTCAAGTGAAGTATGTGTGCTGTCTGAAATGTAGTGTTGTCAGCACCTTCCCCCTTTCGAATGGCACTGGATCGCCCGTGTCATTCCTTAAAAGTATTTTCACGTCTCCGAAGGATTTCGTCTGAACAGGCACGTATTGTATGTTGGTGAACGTTTTCGTAACGATGTCGCCATACTTTCCTTCGACGGGAATGTTTCGAAGTAATTGCGCACTCGTATCTCCAACGATCTGAGGCTGAATGATGTTGCAATACGTGTAGATCGTCGAAAAGATATTCAAATCGACTACGTGTGGACTTTCGCCCGTTTTGTCAATTGTTACCTTCTTTCCACCGAATCCCAGGATGAGGGACAATTTCTTAAATAAACCAATCTTACAGTTGGCTCCCAAATGGACGGTCACTTTTCCTGTTCGAGTGCTGTACGTTAAGTTTATGCTGTCATTGCCTATATATTTTTTTAAAGAGGCATTCATGTTTTTGAGAAGTTCTTGTACAGTTTCATAGTGCCCGTAATCGACAAATGCCGCAAGGAAAAATCCCTCGCCATTGTTTCCGATACCGTCGTTGTAATAAAAGTATAGATCGTCAGCAACATCCCGCAGAGTATACCATGTGTGGGGATAAGAAATGGAATACAGTCCAACTTCCCAATTGCCGTCCAACTCAACAGGCTGCGGTAATTTTACACGATATTCGGTTGTTTTGTTATCGGGAAAAACGTCCAGGGACGCATTGCTCGGAAGCGTGAGGTAAAAGTGTGTTCCGCTCATTATGAATCCCCGATGAGAATAACAAACAAACAGCACGTTCAACGGTTTAAATCTTATTTATTTCAGAAGCGGGTACCCACAAGTTAAATTTATTGGGGTACCCTAACCATTTTACAAGATAATGTACATTATTGCCACGTCCACGTTTTTTTAGGATCTTTTCAATTTCGTAGACGTCATCTTCCTTAATGATCTTTTGCAACTCTTTCTCGTAAAATGTTCCTTTGAGTTCTTCACCGTCCAGATCCTTTAGTTTGTACACAGGAGGATCACGAGGTATTTGTTTGCTTATTGTAAAGATCTCTTTTGAGAAATTCGGCAAGTATCCCTTTTCAAATGTTCGTTTCATCTTGCTAATTCTCACTTGATCGCCGATCTTAAACTTGTACTTTACATTTTTTGCTACGTTATGCTCATCATACAGGGTGTGCCACACTTCCTTCTCGTTCCCAGCAGTAACGTCCACGGGTCTTGTCCTGATGCTACGGTGAACACTGTGATTGTAAGAATAGACCAAATTGGGTAAAATGTCTACGTATCGCATGGTTTTCTTAGCCGTAAAATAGCGCCACATTTTGGTCTTTAAAGTACGAATCAGGCGTTCCACGATAGAAGCTTTCGTTTCATTGTACGTATTGTACAGTTCGATGTCTTCTTCTTTCATCAATGCTCGAAAATGTTTGTTTAGAAATTCTGTTCCTTGATCGGTCATAATCTTTTCGGGTCTGCGTCCAGACGTTAAAATGACCTTGAAAGCTTCGACCAGTGTAGGACCTGTCTTGTTTTTCAATGGGACTACCCATGCATACTTGGAAAAGACATCAATGCAGACAAGTAAATAACGATAACCATCGTTAAACTTCTGCATGGACTGCATGTCCGCCAAATCCATTTGCCATTGTTGATCAATACCCCCTACAATGACACGGTTCCGTTTAAAGTGGCGATGTATGGGCTTGTGCAGTGTGTATGCGTCCTGTTTCATTAACCATTCCTTGATTTCCTTTCGACTTATTTTAAACTTTCCCTCATCTTTAACATCTTGGTACAAACGATCCACTCCGCCAAATCCTCCCGACCTTTTCGGATCGGAATAAACGCTGGATAAGTAGTCGTCCATGTTCACATGCGAAATGACGGAATCCTTTCATTCTTCAACGTTTTGAATACTATCCTCCTGGGTCTTTTCGATGGGGCTGTAATTTTTAACGGTTTTACTACAGTATCCCACCTGTACATGCCCCTCGAGATTAAGATCATTCCTTCCTGCGCTTATACCAATTCTAAACATTTTCTGTTTATTATGATTCTTATCGACCTTCGGATTTTTACTAGCAGAGTGTCCCATGACGTACACTCGAATATGAGAAGATTTTAAAGGTGCACGCACATATAAAACGTTTTTTCCTTTGGGAAGAAACAGTCATTACTTTACATTAAAGAGTAAACATGTCTAAACCTATCGATATCGACAATAAGGAACTTGTTCTCTATCATCGTCAGAAACGCATCATCAAAAAACTTTTAAAAGTTTCAGCTGAAGAAATCGCTCCTATCATCTCTCAGCTCGCTGTTGAAAATTGTAACGGTTGCATGACAGAGCATCTGTCTCAGACGCATCATCAGTGTCTTACGATGGAAAGAGACGAACGGTTATGTCTATACTTTGATCATGCTCTGGAAAAGGCTTCGGAAACAAAAGTGATGGAGGCTTTTACTAAAAGTTTGAGTGATATGAAAGTACATGATTTCGAATTGCTTGAGTATACGGCGGACGATTGGAAAACTATCTTTTGCGTGAAACACAGGCGAGCATTGAAACACGTGATCTTTCAGTTATTGTAACTTACATATTATTCCGTAATCAAAACCTATAAAGGATACGGGCTCTTTAGTTCCCTAATCATTTGAAGCAAACATGACTTGGAGGAACATTGTCACTCACTGGCTCTCGGACAAGATTATTTCACAAGAGGGAAATTTGGCAACTCTGGATTTGATGAAACTTTTGATAGAAAAAAATATAATACCAGCAACGCTTATTGACAATGCGACGCTGCACTCCATTCTGTTGACACAAATCATACTGGAAACACTAACGGGTATAACGGTACCTCGGGCCCCCCAGGGGAACACCTTTACCTACCAGATGAACGCTAGAGAAATGATGATGTGGGACATGGCTAGAAAAAACGAAAAGCAGGTCGATGCACTGGAGAAGGAAACGGGGGTGAATCTGGATCATTACCACAAACTGAACATTAAAAATTAAAACTGAGATCAAACCATCTTTGTAAAAATATTTATTTCAATTGTTATTAGTACCCATAAGGTAATGTTTTGTAATCATCCACAATTACACGTTTATTATAAACTATTCTGTAGTCCTTTTTCATGCGCTTCGTTTCAATTTCTTTGGTCCGGGTATTTCTTGTGATTCTAAACGGAATGTCCACAGACACTTGCCCAGTCACTTGACATTTAGCATGTAAATACACCAGTCCACAAATCACCTCGAAGTTCACCTTTTGCCTCGCCGTGCAGTCTAGAGTGATTCCACGCACTTTGGTCTCAACTTTACCACTATTCGTACGGTAGCAATAATTTTTCGGACCGCCTGACGCAAACACAGTAATGTATTCGCCTCCTAGTTCATCGGTTAATTGGCCGAGATGGTTGCCCAAGGGAGGTTCGGGTTCGTTGAGTTTGCTGATAAAAATCACTGAGTCGGTATCGTAATACATCACCCTCTCCTGCAACATGTCCAACACGCCGTAAAGCTTGAGACGGGCATAGGCGGTGGTGAAAGCAGCAATGACCACGTTGGTTTTCGCATCGGGTTTGATAAAATTGTCCGTATACTCGTACCGAATTTCAATGATGTCGTCACTCACTAAATCGGCATCAAGCACGTTGATCTCATCAGAAGTGAGGTAGTCAAAGAATACTTGTGGATCTTTTATCTGCTCGGTTTTCACCATGTTGGGTCGTTGTGCAAATTTACCTAAACGAAAAACTGTTAAGTATCATGTAACGAAAATATGCCAATGAAAACACGGTACTCACCCCAGAACGAATTCAACATCAGTTTAGCCAAAGCGCGTAATCCAGGATTGTATTCGATCTTGTGGGGGTCTAAATGGATTCCCGACTTTTCTAGGTACTCGTCCACGTAATGCCGTTTCTGCTCTTCGGTGACGCTATCTTTCGGGTACCCACTCGCCTCTTGTTTAATTTTCAGGAATGTGTCAATATAATCTTTGAACAGGTCATCCGAGGTCTCGGGAAAGTGCCAGACTTCGTGAATCCGTACAATTTGATAACTTTTTTCCAACGCTTTCTCCAGCTCCACGCTACACCATGTACCCTGAATGGCTCTTTCACGGTCGGCATGGTCACAGGGAGTCTGGTTACAGGCATCGGCACAGGTTTTGCAAAGCGGAAACATCAACTTGCCTTGAGTGCGATAAGGAAGAACAGGGTGGAACAGACCTCGAGGCGGAAGCACGGTGCATTTGACCAGACCAAAATAGGTGGATATGTCGTCAAAGTTCTCAGTAATAATGCGTGGATGTCCCACAACCGTTCGCGTCATTTTATTACACCAGGGATAAAGGCTTGTAAAATCCACATACCTAGAAATAATGTCATACATGACGTAGTAAAACATGACGTCATACATAACCTAAAAACATAATGTCAAAAATTTTTTCTCCCTACCTTATTTTCTCATCATCATTACATTCATGGTAAAGTCTCGACGCGTTGGTTCGTCCTCCATACAGAGCATCACGAGGTTCCAAGGGATCGACTCCATCATATTGTATAAAGTAATGTTTCATGTCTTCATTACCGGCCAATTCCCGATTGATTCTACATTCCCAAACTTCTACCACGTTGTAGCCTTGATTTTTCAAATACTGTATCTTTTCCACGGTTTTTTGATGAAGATCATGCATGGTTTTACCTTTGACAGGGTTTATTGTATCACGAGCGTAACAATTTATACATCCTGTAATAAACAAAAATACTATTCTAAAATACTATTCTAAGGGCGTCTATTCGAGGGAGGCGTTTATTCAAACACTTACCATGCCAAAAACATCCATGGACTTCATAGGCCGTGCGGGTTTCTTCATGATAACCGTCCAGCAAATACGGACCAACACGTTTCTCTCCGCCGTTGCGAGCATGTTGTATGTAGATCTCATTTTGTTCGGACGTATACGATAACCATTTTTGTGCAAGAAGGGACTGTTTGTTTTCGGGACAGTAACCGCGCGGTGGAATGATGGCAATGGTGTTTTCACGAAGATAATTGGTCCGATACACTAGATTACATGCGGACGCGATAGTAAGGCATTTCTCAAAGGGATCGATTTTAGTAACGTCACGGAACAGTTCGCGAAATTCCAAGCAACAACGTCGTAGAATATCCACATCGGAACGACAATACGCAAGAATTTCCTCTTGGAAGTTAAACACGTAATCATTGTCTTTCAAATTCTTATGCCAACGTAAAAACGTTTCCTTCGCTGCAGGACTCATTCCGTTCGGATTGTAGTAGGGAGCAGGCGGAACCGGTCCCACATAATTTTCGTTTTCTTTCTTGTTGAAAAGATGCGGAAAGTACCCTTTTGCCAGCTCGTCTATGCCAAAGGTTTTTGGAAAATCTGCTAACCTCATCGGGATAAAGTTCAGGGAATCGATAAATTTGATCTTAAACATGTCCACAGATAAGGAAAGCACTTTGGCACCGCGCACGATGACATCGTACTTGACACCGTTTTCCCGTAAGTATTGCAAAATAAAGTAACTGTCGTACCCCTGGAAATTGTGAGCCATCATAATACAATTTGCCCGTTCCTTTTGAAATAACCATTCACAAAACTCGTTCCGTGTGTTATCCCCTTCAAATACCCATTCGTCACCAGCTTCGTTCTGAATCACGCATAAATTGGGTTCATGATTTCCATTTTCCTGACGACACTCGAAATCAAAGAATAACATTTGGTCGTACCCGCCTTCCGTAACATCATCCTCAGGGTGCTCGGACGAATCGTCACTGTCCGATAAATCTTCGTTTCGTTTTTCCACGGGTTGCATGTAACATCGATGGTCGCCAGGCCGAGTATACTCTTTACATATTGGGCACTTTGTCATACCGCAATGATGCGAATCTCTTTTATAGCGCTTGATAATTCTATGACACTCCGAGCACTTAACCATCGTCGCACAGATCGATTTTTCACTTGACTGTTTATGTCGATCAAAACATGCTTGACTTTTGAACATTCGGTTACAGTCATTGCAGCGAACCCAGGACTCAACGGGACAGTCGGGAAAACGACAACATGGACAAGCATTCGGGCATAGGTGATCTTCTCGATGATCATAAGCTTTCTTGCATGCATGGCAATACTTTTTACGAGCAAAAAACCCCGGCATCTTGGTAATGATGTCGTAATGATTATCGTGAAGGTACAGATAAATTCTCTTCTCTTGATCGGGACCAATATAAATAAGAGCGTTCTGATGATCCTTGGACACAATATTAATTTGATAATCGGAAAGGTACGTCTGAAACTGTTTTACTTCATCAAGTCCACAGGGACCCAAAGGGACGGCAGCTTTTTGATGTAATTCACGAGCCAAACGGGTTTGCATAGCCCTCCGATGATCAACAATGCTCGTATACTGGGGATCGTTATCAATTTTGGCTTTCGCAACGACCAGGGCCCTCGCCAAACAAAGTTGATCATTGTTCCGGATCCGTATGATTGAGCGTTTCTTCATCAAATGCTTTTCCAAATTAATTTCGGCCCGTTTCGTACCTGTACCACCATGGGGCATTTCCACATGAACAACATTGACATCCACACTATCATTGAGATGAAAATGGCGATTGGACTGAATCACGCGTTCAAACTCTGCCAACACACGTTCTGTAGTGAGACGCTGACGAGGCATAAACGGAAATGAAATAGGATTTTCCAGTTGCGGTGAATGCAAGACAAAACGCACTTGGTCATGAGGAGGAACGCCCTGCGTAACTTCATCAAGCAAACCCTGAAATATTTCGTGCAGCCTTTCGTGATATTCGGAAAGCTCCACATTCGCAAAGGCATTCGTAAATTGAATATGATAATCCATACCCGTGGTTTTAAACTTTTTCACATTCACTTGTTTCACACTCTGTACCGTAAAAACGTTGTCGCTAACCTCGTTCTCATAAGACCCTTCCTGTTCAGGTTCATTATCATCGCTGCTTGTCTCTTCAAAAGATCTTTTCTGTCCGCGACCGACTTGTGGTTCATCATTATCGCTGCTCATCTCTTCATACGCTCTTTTCTGACTTCTAATAATCTGCAGCGGAAGCTCCCCATCTTGCCAATTACGTAGAAAGCTTTCGCGTTGTTCGGGCGTCCAGGTATCTGTAAGATCCGGTACTAGTCCTAACCGTGCGTTTTCCAAACGCCATTCCTTTATCCGCAGAAAAATCTCCATTCTCTTCTCAAACACCAAACGTTCTTCCAGTTCATTGAACACGCTTTGACTTTCCAAAGCCAAAAGCTCCGCTATCGTCTGACATTCTTTAATCTTTCTTTCCATATCTAAACCAAAAACGATTCGCTCAAACAAAATAATTATACAAATACCATCAAGTAAATATAAACATTTACCTGGAAAACAAGCTAATTGTCAAATAAAATATCCACCAAAGCTCTTTCGATGTAAACAGTATATCTAAGTAACTTCCCAAAGTGAAAACTATGAGCACAATAACGATAATCGCCCGTCTCCTCTATTTATACTATCCATCCAACACAGCTAACCAATCAGGGATATGCATGATTATGACGTAATTGGTGTACGTACACCGTGTACGTACACCTAATTTATATTCGTACGCATCAACCAATCAGAGATAAACATGACGTAGTGGTGTACGTACACCGTGTACGTACACCTAATTTATATTCGTACGCATCAACCAATCAAAGATGACGTAGTGGTGTACGTACACCGTGTACGTACACCATACTATATAAAGCAAATCGCTACTATACACACAGTCAAAATGAACTCGTGTGAACAAGTGTTCTGGGCAAAGCGCTTGAACGTAGACGAAGTTGTGCCTTGGGAAATCAGAAACCTGTGTAATCTAATGAATGCTATCTTTTCGGAAGCCGTTGACTGCCAAGTCCATAAACTTCGAAAAGAAAAATGCTGCGGTTGTAAAGTCAATCATCCAAGCCAGAAAAGACATGACTGCCTCATGATGTCCGAAGAAGAGGGCTGGCTAATGCATGGACCAGAAGCAGTAAACCGAGTGATCGAACATCAAACAGTTTCGAAACAATTCACCGAAGCTATACGCGTCATGAAACTAGACACTCATGAAGATGTCATTCAACATTTCAAAAATCTAACCAAAGACCCCGAAACAACCGCCGAATTCCTAAAAGATCTGAAGTTTAAGTCAAACCTTCCTGAATATCAAGCCATTTTGGGATATCTCAGCTACTGGAGCGAAGAACATTAAACAATTCATAGTTTAAAAACATTATATTTTAAAAAATTGTTTATTAACTAAAAGTATATTTTACAAATTATTAAAATGTTCTCGAAGTTTATCTTTGAGATAGTTCTGATATGCCTTTTGTTCATCTTGTTCCTTGCTCCGGAACTTTTCCCCCTTTCCTCTAACATAATATATAAAGGTAGGGGGACTGCCGAAGAGGCACTCTGCAACAGGTTCCAATGGATCTGCTTTAGGACTAGACAAATCGCACAGGACTTCGATTAATGCCTGGTTGTCCTGGTATTCTTGAAATAATGATTCAATCAGCATAAGATCAGGGTTCTCTTCCAAGCTCAACAAGTGTTCCGTAAAATATTTCTCAAACGGAACATTCAAAATTTCAATAACACCGGCAAATTCACGCCAGACAGCGTAATTAGTTCCGGCTTCCTCTATAGCATCAAGACCATACATCTCCCATTTTTCAAACTCATTCAACATTAAACAGTCCTGGTCACGAACCTTACACCCGCAACAAAACAGGCCAAATTTCTTTTCAATGCTATGTGCAATGATCTTGGCATATATTATTTCTAAAAAACGAAGCTTTTTGCTTGAACCGTTCATCATGAAAACCAATGTGTAAATGAATTTGTACTACTCACCGATTCAAATATACCCCATGTCTTACAAACGCTCCCGCATACTCATTACTTCCGGCATACTCATTACTTCCGGTGCTCTACTCGTTCCTGCATACTAATTACTTCCGGTGCTCTACTCGTTCCTGCATACTAATTACTTCCGCCGCTATACGGCACTTCCGCCGCTATACGGGGGGGGTAATACTACTCATATATTTGGAAAATCACGTTTCACACAAGGCAGCTTTGAAGCAATTTTTGTTTGAAGAAATGAGAAGAATTGATTTACTATGGGAAATCGTGAAATATAGGGCAAGTTTGCTTGGAATGTTTAAGGTTGATGAATTTTCAATATTAACTCCTTGCGTAATTAAAACATGCAGCTTTCATTTTCCTTTTCAATGAAGCTGCAAGTTTCCTAAATTACCCTGTCTAATTTTTACTTAATAAAACAAAATAAGTTCAAATTGTTGAGTAATTTCAGTTACGTCTTCAAATTAATTTGCTCTCCTTCACATTTTACCTTTTTTCTTAAATTAAATTTAAACTGGGTAATTTAGGAAGCTTACAGCTTCATTGTCCCCATTGAAAAGGAAAAGAAAAGCTGCATGTTTTACGTGAGAAGTTAATAAAGCAAGAAAATTGATAAACATTAAATATTCAAAGAAAACTGCCCTATATTTCACGATTTCCCATGGTAAATCAGTTCTTCTCATTTCTTCAAACAAAAATTGGTTCAAAGCTCATTGTGTGGAACGTGATTTTCCAAATATATGTTTTTGAAATTTGAAATCTTGTTTGTTCCGGGTGGTTCCGCGCAGTTGGCTTGGGGATTAGGGTTTTAGCTTTCGAATGACACCTTTCTTGTATCAAGCACAATCTATAATCGACCAAATACGAGCCGATTAAATATTGCTGGCCGGTCAAAATCACATTTTCCCACTTTTGTGCATATATAATTGCCATAATTAAGCAGTACGTAAAAAAAGGAAAAAACAATTTAAAATTAATCACTAATGTGGCTTGCTAAACAAGTGAAATTAAAATTCATGACTTATAGATCCAAATGGGATTTTTTGGGCAGTTTTGCGGGCCAATTTCCAACGTTGAAAAAATGTGATTTCGACTTGCAATTTTTATTCGATTCGCATTTGGTCATTTTTCTTTATAATGACACAAAAAAGTATCATTGGGCAGCCGAGAGTCTAAATTTTGTTGATGTGTAAAAAAACTTTTATCAAGTACTCGTTGCAGCTTACGCATGCGAACATGTCATAGTTCGATTGTCTTCTTTTTAATGTACCCTGTACTGCTTAATTAGTATCGGTAATCGCATAGAGCCGAGTAAAATTAATTAAGGTTTAATTTCACACTTGTTTCCAAAGTTTCACAAATTTGTGAAACTTTGAAAACACAAGTAAAATTAAAAGTATGGATTACTTGTTCATCATGGAGGGCAAAATTTATTCGTAAGTTAATTGTGAACTTGTCAAGTTCTTGAACCCCATATGTGAGGCATGTCTCCATGTCTTAGAACACTAGAGGGGGCATCGCAATCTTGACATCAGGCAAAAAAAGGAATGCAGCTATTGTGGGGGGGGGGAGCAAATTCAAGACCCGGATGTGTACTCATGTTCCCATTGGTGAGGAGCTTCAATTTAGTCCATGAGAGCATGATTTTATATCCGGGACCTAAATTCCCATTAGCCGCGTTCCCAAATTATAACCTCGATAACCTATATGCCAATCAAGATATATTTTTTCTAACCTGCGAACGGGCATACTCGTACGCCGAGATTGCCGAACTTCCGGTCTTTAATCTCTTTTCCATTCTCCAAGACGCGTCCTTCGATAAATTGTAATCGAACGAATGGCCGAGATTTTAGTCAGAGATGCTGTGTTTGCACAAGTACGAAGCACTTTGCTCAAATTAATGTACGATAAAAACGATTGATTTACATCGACACTGAAATTTGTGCTCTCGCTGTGAGTAAAATAATGGAGATTGGTCTTCCCACACGCTACGAATTACATGAACAGATTGGCAAGTGAGTGAACTGTTGTGCTGACAATTTTGACATGATATGTGTGTTCTTCACACGCTATTGTATACAATACAACTTTCGTTCTTGCCTCGTACATTTACTAACGTACATTTCTTTTGCTGTAAACCAGGGGTACTTTTAGTGTGATACGAAAATGTCGAGATACACAAACGGATGGTTTATGTGCTGTAAAAATTGTCGATATTTCTCGAATGAACACCACGACTGGCCTCACGCGTGAAGGTATTTGGCCTTATCGATAATAATTGATAATTCTAGAATAATTTGGAATCGCTTGCTGACAAATAAGACATATACACGTTCTGCTTATGCTCTGTGTTTATTAATTTGAGCGTTAATAATGTGTGAAACCATCAACCTTCAAACATGTTTCCAATATATTAAAATCGATATTATACAGCAATGAAAGTCAGTATTTCTTGACTTCTCGACTTTACTGGTAAAATATTTACTGTCGGTTTCAGTTTGGCGAAATAAACTTCGCATTTGAGATAAACAATGTATCTGTTTTACGGGACAAACCGAGATTACATTAATGTGATTTTTAACGCTTGCAAAATCGTAGATAACATATAAAATGATACGATAGCATTATATTGCTTTATGTTGTTTGGTTTTGCCGACAAATTACGCTAGTGGCAAAACGTAAACAATGTTCGGCTTATCATAACTTCTAAATCCTCTCGAAAACGGTCTAAAGCTAGGATTTACAAGGTTAATTGTAAGTACAACCGGGGCAATATATTTGCGCTGTCAGTAGCTTGTTGAGAAGACGCTATTAAAATATTAAGCTTGCTGTCATGTGTGTGTATTTTAATATTCATAACATTGATAAATGTTTATTATTTCCTATTTTCTTTTCTTATTACCTGGCCAAACTATTAAACGTAAATTTATTTTACTTTAGATCTCGTACATGAATGCCAAATTTGTAGAAAGCTAGACCATCCCCATATAGGTAAGCTGTTTTCTTGAAAGGCCGCTGTTGCCTTCTAATGCGGTAAATTATTTACATTTTGTCGCAAATATCCGTTTGTCTGCATAAAATGTCCATTCAGTACAATTCTGATTAATTTTGTTTTTGGCATTTGAAGTATGTCAATGTTTTTGAAGACTAGAACGTGTTAATTGAAATATGATATTAACGTTCCAGAAATGTAATCCATATTGGAATACTGCATGTTGTGATGTTGGTGTGTGTCCATTTTTTTGTTGCAATTAATAATTAACTCTTAAAAGAGTTCTAAATTTTCCAGAGAGTGTAAAAAATAACTAGCTTTCAAAGTCTGAAATACTGAACTAAATTTTCCTTGTTATGTATTTGGTATAATTTATGCCTAAATTATACCAAATATATTTTCAAGCTAGATTTCAAGCAATTCCTTTGTAGTGAAGTAGTTAAAGCACTTCCCTTGTACATGTTGTTGCTGGTTTGAATCTGGAAGTGGAATTTCTTGAAAGCATATATGCATTCTTCCTGCAAACAAGTGATCAATAAGAACAGGGCCAATTTTGTTAGGGACAGGGTTAGGGTGTGGGAAGTTCAGGAAAATTTATTGTTTAAAATTGTGTTGGATCAATAGCCGTAACACAAGGGGTTCCGGTGTGTGATGAATATCCACGGCATAAAATATTAATTGTCCATAATAAATTGCTTGTAGTAATTTTGTAACTCTGCTTTTAACAAGCCCAATGGACCTTTCCCCTTATAACTAAAATTTTGATCTAGACAAAAATTTCATCACACCTGAAAGAGCATCACAAAATTTGTAATATTCCAAAGTTCATTGTGAAATTTTGTAAAATGCGGATAATATAGCCCTGCTAAATTTGCTGTTTTTCAGTCATTTTGTATTACGCATGGGAAATTGACAGCCCAATCGGGTGTTGGGGCATCAATTTCCTGCATTATATATGCATATGATCAAAATTTTATTTATAAGGGGAAAGGTCCATTCCAGTATAAAATGAGGGAATTTGCATAAAAGGCACATTAGGGCCTAAGAGATCTTGTAGATCTTCCAATAAATATTTGCATTGGTTTCATGTGAGAAAGTGAGCTGAATGGATTGCCAATTAGATCTTTGTTATGTTACAAGAGACGTGCTATAAAGAAATACATTTTATGAATTGAAACAGTTGTTTGTAATTTTATGCCACACAGCTGCAGGTTGATATGTGCTGAAATGTTCATTATTAATCACATCCAAGAGACTTTGTTGTTTGATATAATCACACGCTGTATTTTAATAGAAGTTTAGGACAAAATTCATTTCAAACAACATAGCTTAAAAGTCTCAATGTATGCACAGGCCCGTAGGAAGATCGATAATTGGGGGGGGGGGCTCATATTCATATATTTGTGTTCTGCATTATTCACTTCTTTTGAAATCGGTTGTTTTTACGGTCTGTAAACATGAATATATGAATATGAGCCCCCCCCCCAATTATCGATCTTCCTGTGGCCCTGATGCATGATGAGCTGATGGCCTTAATATAAACATTGAGTGCCATTAGATGTTGTTTTGGGCATTGTGGTGTTTGTGTAATGCCATCTGGATGATTTCACTCACCAAGGTGCAAGTGCTGTTTTTATTGTTATAGTGCATTTGAAATGTTTATTAGTATTTTTAGGGTATTACATTTTATTAAATGTAAATACAGTAAACAGTAGGGGTGCACTGGCACTCGGCTCCAGCCAGTTAGTTCTGGCCTGAACCCCGATTTTTCAGAGTTCCGGTTCCGGCCGGAACTAATGTGTAATAGTGTAATTTCCTGCGAAGATATTTTATCAAAAATGTCCTGGCAGCGGTGCTACTGGCGCTGCCGGACATTTTCCAGTACTGACAGTAAAAATAATGGTCCTAATAAACTAAACTGAACGGGAAAAGGCCCTCACACTGACTTGATTACCCCAGTTGTTGATTACCCCTTGTGGTTCCTGAAAAATGCCTGCAAATATAGTCTGCAATATTTTCAATAATTTATATTTCAGTGAAAATGCTTGGCGCTTATGATGTTGACAACACTGTCTACATGGTTTTTGAATAGTGAGTGTCTATTGATTGTTCATGATGTTGGGAATTGTAATGAACACATTACATTACACTATATTGTATTGTACTGTATTTTTTCAGTATGGATGGTGCTGATCTCTGTTTTGAAATTGTGAATAGAGTAAATGCAGGCTTTGTTTATAGTGAAGCTGTTGCCAGGTTTGTCTTGCAAATATTATGAAATGATTTATTAATGTGGGGTGAAGTATATATGTCCTGATTATTATATTTTTGCCCTGTATCAGTACACAAGTGCTTATTCACTGGTTTTGTTGAAAAAAACTAGAATATGGTAAAACACAAAATAGATAAACATGGAGATTGGTTTCAGATTATTGTCATGGAACAGCTTCAATAATGTCAAAATACTGATGCACTATGAATTTGTGTAAGGCACTAAGACCCTATGAATAAGACATTATCTAATGACAGTATATACTACAGGCTGCATGATACTATGAAATTGTATATTAAATTTGTTTATGACTTTGGATGCTGATTATAAATTTATTTTTTAGTCATTATTTGAGACAAGTTTTGGATGCTTTAGCTTATATCCATAAAATGAATATTATACACAGAGACATTAAGGTATGTTGATTTTGCATTGCATTGCATTGCATTGGCCATTGCACTGCATTGGCCATTGCATTGCATTGCATTGTTGCTGACCTTAACCTCACATATTTCTTGTTGACCTATTTAGGAATAGGAATAGGTTTTACTGATGTGGATAGTGAAGAATGTAGGTAGTGAAGAATACAATGATGCAACTACCTGAAAAATAACAAAATAAGAACTTCCAGACAAAAGGCCTTAACTAGAAATGTTGAAGTTTGTTCTTTGTTGTTCACACACACACACACTTGCAAATTGGTTTCATGATCTTATCTCAATTGCTACATTGTCTTCCAATGAGAAGGGTGGTGTTGTATGGGGAGATAACTCTTGTTTTCAAGCGTTAGATTCGGTTTAATGGCTCTTTCAAATGTTGAATTTTGCAAGTGTCAAATTCAATTTGACTTGGGTGTGGCTTTGGAATACAAGTTTGGAATGATATAAAGCTGGAAACATAAGATGTATATGAGAATATCATAAGAATATAAGGTTGAAATTGGCAAAATTTAAAGAATAAACTATAAATATCCCATAACTGGGTTAATTTAAGCTGTGGAAAGTATATGTATGTTGTAATGAATCTAATTGATTTTCCCTATTAAAGACACAATTAAACAACTGCAAAATACACTATACTGTCTCCGTAATTTGAGATTGTACATAAGAATATTTAAGACTAAATTTGTCGAAAAAATAAGAATATCCAGCCTGACTGAGCATGAAATTTCGTATTATAATTTCTAAAAGATCTCGAGCAAGGCAAAGGAGAAGGACAACTGAACCTGGTTTACTGTACATGTCGGTAGTTACTTGAAATCTCTTGTGTGTAAATTTCGTATACAATATTTCAACACGTAATTCGTTTACACTCTTCAATTTCAGTATCAATGCTGTAAGATTGCCTCTTCTCAATGCTTTGTTACAAGAGATACGTTTTTTCGAAGTGGCAACATGTCAACATGTGACATTATTACCATCGTTAACATTGTTCGGTATCTCGACATATATACACCGAAAATACAGGGTACCGAATATTGAATATTGATACGAGTTTTTCAGTCATACCGATACACTGAAAGTTTCGATTGAGTGGCACTATTAAGTATTCCAGTCTTCAAAATGTTTACTTTTTCTACTTTATGGATGTGTGAAAAGCGGAATGTGGCTGAAAATCCTTTTCGCATTTCGAATTTTTATCGAGGAATTTTCTTGTCTAGTTAACAAGGCACAAAAACCGGTACACCGAAAATATCGGTATAATTTTCCCGGTATACCGATGACGAAATGTTTTAATACCGATGACGAAATGTTTTAATACCGATCCATTATGAAATCTCGTGAAATCTTTCATATCATTAGTAATAATTGAACTTCATCTGTTAAATGTGAGCCAAGAAGAAGCGAAATTCCCATGAGTTAACGGAGTGGCGAAATAGTTGGGCAGCATAAACTCCAATATTACCCAACGTGTCAGCTACAGTTAACATTTCCATAACCGTTTACTGTACAATTGCGATAGACATTTTATTTTTTAGCCGTGAAAATAAAGCAATCTGATTGGCTGGGGAGTCTTTCAGAGCCGCTCTGGTTTTCACGCCAAAACTGAGGAGTGAAACATTTTTAAACTAAAAAAATACCTGCCCAAAGAATCACTACTAAGCAAAATGCACATCAGGATTCGCAATATTTTGCTACATTGCCTACTGAATGCCATTTCAAAAACAGGCTCCCTTCCTGCCCTCTCCAGACTCCCGTGAATCATCGTCATGCATCTTGGTTGGTTTTAAATATTTTAGTTGCTTTTTTATTTAAATAAACATAATGAGCAGGTTATTCACATAACCAGGGCTTGAAATTTTAAAAATGTTTTTATTTAGTCGCCTTGGTGACTACCAGGGAATAAGATCTGGGCGCCAAATTTAATATCAGGTTGTCCTATATCAATAAAAATTGATCAATAAATTAATTTGATCTATGCATTCGTGAATAACGCATTATATTAAACAGTATATACAGTACATTTCTTTCTTTCACAATTCCCACCCATACAGGGTAGTTGGATTTTGTGTTATTCTCTTTGTACACATTAGGGGTGCACCGGATAGTGATTTTTACTATCCGGCCGGATACCGGATTTGCCGGATATCTGAAAAAAAATCTGGCCGGATTATTCGGCTGGATACCGGATATTTTATCAATTTGAATACTTGACATATAATATATGTTTATAAGGATTTTTCTCATCACATAGATAACATTATTAAAACAGTTGTTTACCATGTTAGCAAATTATATGCAAAAGCAGAATGAAAGACTTAATCACCGAGATATTTTAATTCTTTGGAATTACCCGAAGTTTTTTCTCAGTCTCTACAAGGGCTACTTTGGCAAATGTCTGGTCGTTTTGGGAGAATATGCCCAGTGCTCCCCTTTATAGTTTGTAAAAAGATATATAGTTAAGACAGGTATTATTTGGTATAGAAATATTACCTTTATTTATAATCTAATATAACTTTTGCAGCCGCATAACATTCTACTCGCTAATAAAGAAAATTCGGCGCCAGTGAAGTTGGCAGATTTTGGAGTGGCAAGAATATTGGATTCCAGCGAACTGATAACTAGTGGTTGGTATTACAATTTTTAAAAATGCTACATGTAAAGAGCGACTATAGGGGCGGCAGAAAATGAATGAAAATAGATAACATTGAGTGAAACCTATAGCCCTAAAACTACCTTGAACGCTAGCCAACATTGAACCTTATGTTTGAAGACTTCACTACAGTATGCTGGTTATGGTTCAGGGTTGGGTTTCACTCGATGTTATTTGTTTTCTTTTGTTTGCATATTTCGTGTCCATAGCACACTCATCTCAAAACTAAGATTGGATAGAGCAACTTTTTGAATTCAGGGAATTAATTTTGAAGCCAGAATATTTATAATTGGGAAAGATTTTCCCTTTCGAATCAAATCGTTACGTGTTTAAATCAGTTATACTGTCAAGAAAATATTTTCTTCTGCGTAACTTGAAACATATAGCTTCCCATACCTCTTCTAATTAGTTTTAAGATCATTTTAAACACGAAGTATTAATGAGACTTGTGGCGGCCATTTTGGTGTGACCTCATTTATTATTGACTGGAAAATTTCAGAAGGAAGAGAGGGCACTAATTAGCCATTCCGATGTTGATGAGTGGACTGGGGACGAGTGTTAAAAAGTGCCCAAATTAAGAAATGAACCGAATCACTAAAAAGACCACCTCAAAATTAGTAAGTATACAAAGTTTGAAGACATTTACATGAATACCCTTCGAATAATAAGCTTTTGAGACGCGCGTCCCAAAAAACAAAAATTACAGTACATTTCATAGTAAATATCGCGATTTTCGAAAGCTTATTATTCGAAGGGTATTCATGTAAATGTCTTCAAACTTTGTATACTTACTAATTTTGAGGTGGTCTTTTTAGTGATTTGCTTCATTTCTTAATTTAGGCACTTTTTAACATTCATCCCCAGTCCTCTCATCAACTTCGGAATGGCTAATAACCAATTTCTTTCTAGGCATCACTAGAAACGTTACGAACCTAAAGTTCTAACATGTCATCAACACTGCTGTACATTTGCGATGGTCACGCCCGCTCCTCCACAGGCAAATCGGCAAACGGCAGAATTACGCAATGCCTTTTAGTGCTAGAGGGTGGTAACTGGGGATTGCAAGGGATGTGTAATTCAATAATACTGTTTTATATTGAACTAATAGGGAGGATAGGGACACCACATTTCATGTCTCCAGAAGTTGTTAAAAGAATACCATATGGAAAACCAAATGATGTCTGGGGATGTGGTAAGTATCAATTTTGGAGTGTTTTGCAGTGAATGTTAATTATTAGAGAAGACATTTGTTTGGCCATAACATTTTATCAAAAAATCTATTTCCATTTTGTATGTTCCAATTGCGTGCTGATGTGCCCAAATTTGGCAAAAAACTGAAAAGATTTTAAAATATACTTTTGATGTTTAATACGTAATACATCTTTCTTTTATAGGGGTAATAATGTTTATTCTTGTAAGTGGTGCGTTTCCGTTCAATGGAACTGGAGAGAAAATATATGACGTCATTTCAACTGGGGATTACACAGTATGTCACGTACTTTCGACCCAATATAGTGGTAGAGAAGTGAGGATAGAAGTAAAAACATTTCAGTTTAAATTAATAAAGATCAAGAAAGCTTATGGTTGCGAGTTCAGTTGAACTGAAAAATTGTTAGATGGAAATTTTAAGCGTTTTTCATACGTCCGTATACGCAAGGAAAAGTTAAATTCTTTCTAAATTTTATAAAAGTACCAATGACCTCAACAAATACACAATAGATCATGTACAACAAGTAAATGCTGTTCTTTTATTCATTTTCATTTAGTTCATAAGTACCATTTAATTTAAATGGATTTTAACTTTTCCGTGCGCATATGTGTATGAAAAACGCTTAACTAGAATGCAGCCCTAGCAGTATTTTCTTGAGAATTTTATTAGTTGAATTTTATAATTTTATTAGAATTTTATCGTGCACAGAGGTGTTCATAACGCAGCTTACTTTATTGCCAACCACTCTTATTTCCTTTCCGAACTGATTGATCACCCCGCGGATAATTATTTGGCCGTACAATGGATCCCACGCCTCTGTGTTTACTTGTCATGACTTTATTACTGTTTAGATGCGGCCCAAACAATGGGACTTAATATCAGAAGATGCAAAAGATTTAGTACGAAGTTTATTGGCGTATGATCAAACTAACCGAATTACTGCCGAACAAGCACTTGCTCATCCCTGGCTTAAGGTTTGAAGACTTTGAATTTACTTTTAATGTTTTCTGTAATAATAGGGCTATAACTTGAGTATTAATATTGCTGTATATATTACCTTCAGTTGTTACTATTTTCAGGACAGAGAAATTGCTCCAAGGAATCATCTGCAGGAATGCGTTGATGAAATGAAGAAATTTAATGCAAGAAGGAAACTAAAGGTGCAGTACATATTCAATTATTTCTCAGCCATGGACTTACTTGATATATCTTGATTAGAGAAATTCATTTACTGTAATGTAATGAATCCACTGTTAACTGGTTTCCAATCAGTCACCAATTCTTTTAAATATATCGTAAAGATATTCAAATATATTGCTTTAGAGTATAACCGTTATATAATGGTCGTCTTTTTAGGGAGCAGTTTTGGCTGCAGTTGCGAGTCGGAAATTTGTTGGTAGGTTTTTAGTTGTTTTATGCTCGAGTATATCTTGAGTATATCTATACTATATATGTTGCTGGTACAATGTCATGGTCGATATTATTGGTCTCTTTGCAAATATCCGAAAAAGTCCATGCAATTATAGCTAGAAATACACGCATGCAGTAACCCTCGCTCTTTCCAACAAAACAACAATAATTCCCAAATATTATTCCAATATGTTGACGGAGACTTAACTATCTCGTTTGCGATTATCACCCTAGCGCATGCGGGCGAGGGGATGGGAGCATGTATATGCCTAGAAAACGTCCGGTTTGAAGCGGGATCGTGGTTGGTGAAAATTGGACGGAAAACGTCCTACGTCGATATAAACGTAACACGATGAATATTGCGAGATTTAGATTTGACTTCCACTACCATTAAGCGACCATTAACCAACCAGATGAGTTTAATCTACCCGACTAACCAATCGCATGCGTGCTTGGTAAAAGATAACGGTATAGTAGAAGTCAAATCTGTACTTCTCTATATAATAAAAGTTATCGCAATCCCGATCGTTGTTCTGCCCTAGCAAGCTTCCATGCAGTCTCGTCTCTCGCATAAGAAATGTCGTATTTAAAGAAGTCCTAAGAAATGTCGTATTTTTATAGATGCCCTTCTTCCAAATGGAGATCTTCATAAGAATGGTCTTGGACCGGTAAGGATGTAGTACACATTGAACATTACTTCTTGATGAGTATTGATGTTAGAATAATGGTGGGACGGAAAGGAATGGCTCACGCAGCAAGGAATATTTTAACATATACTGCATGGGGCCCCATTTGGCCTGCAGGCCCAACTACTAGTTAGTGGCTCAGACTGGGCCTAACCTGAGTGACCTAAATCTTACTCTGGGGAGCCCATACTGGGCCATAATCTTGGTTTTGGCTGTCACGCAGATATATGACCAGCAGAAACGGCTGTTCTATTATTCAAAATGATATTTATATTTAAGGGTCATAATGTAGATGAATTTCATCATGATGATAGTGAGTTGAACGCTGCGGGTGAGTAGTTTTCTTTCGCAAGACTGTACACCAGGAATAACATGCAGATCTGGATTGCTTTATTCATGGAGTTGTATATTGTACTTTCTGGAGGTTCAGTGAGGACCATTCCGTATCGGTCCAGTCTTTATACAAGAGGAAACTGGAATACCTGAAGAAAGCCAGCGAGGTTTGGTGTGAAACTGTACCATGTGTTTGCATTTCAGGTTCAGTTGCGCAGTTACTTGATTCTTTGGAAGAAGTTGAAATTTTATCTCAAGCTAAGAAGAGTGACATTGACTTTCTTCATCGTTTCCTCGACAATAATAAGTTTCAGTCATTACTCGAGGTACGCTTAAATATTCCTACAATTATGTTATATGTGCATGAGTAATAGGTAGGAGTCACTCAGAGAGTGACTATATTTGATATGCTTGCCAAAAATGAATTTTAGCTTTGTATAAAGATATGTACTAAATTTTGTAAATTTATCTACGTCACGAGACGAATTTAATTTTATAAATTGATAATTAGTATCTCGAGAAGAATAAGATATATTGAAAGATGGAAAACTTCATGATATTTAATTTATAGATGGTTTTATGTCAGTGACACTTTCAGCAATGTATTAGCGGTAGTCGTTTCTGCAGTAGTTTCTGGTAGTCGTATATTGACGTTTTGTTCTCGGCTCAACTTTCCTTTGTTTCCTCCTTTCGTGACCTTAGGGCGCAGTCTAGAGTAGAACTGGTGTATTAATTACATATCATTGATAGATTTATGATCGCGTACAAGATTGGTCTTTGATAAGTGAAAGATCGAGGTCTCATATTCAACCTGACGCAACCCAGACTTCTAAAGAGGTAACATGCACGAAATGACCATGTTGTGAAGTCTAAGCATGCATTTATGTGTTGAAGAGAAAATTTGCAACATGATGTCTTATACATTGAATTCTTTCATTTGATTTAAACCCGTACCTTCGGGAATGTGTTGAAATGGAGCAAATTAAGTAGACCTGGTTGAAGGCTTTTTGGTAAGGGAAACAAAACGTATTTTACCGATTCGGAACCTTTTGAAGTTCAAGTGCTTCAACACTTACATCCTCAACCCAAATTTCTCAATATTTCTAGGCAGTTAAGACTAGGTGAGTTAACATGCCGACACACTGATTTGGACGCCTAAACTAGTTTTCCAAAAAGGAAAAAAAAAACGACATAATAACCGTCAAATAAGAATGTCCGTTACAATAGACCTTTCCCCTTTTGAGTGAAATTTTGATCTAGACAAGTCTGGACAAAACTTTCATCACAGCTTGAAAGAGCATCACAAAATTAGTAATATTCCGACGTTTCGTTGCGAAATGTTGTAAAATGCGGATAATATAGCCTTGCGAAGTTTGCCGTTTTTCAGTCATTTTGCATTACAATCTAACATTTTGCATCAGTTTGATCATCTGATTATCAATTTCCCGTTTGTAATACAAAATGACTGAAAAACGGCAAACTTCGCAAGGCTATATTATCCGCATTTTACAACATTTCGCAACGAAACTTCGGAATATTACTAATTTTGTGATGCTCTTTCAAGCTGTGATGATGTTCTTTCAAGCTGTGATTTGTCCAGGCATATCTAGATCAAAATTTCACTCATAAGGGGAAAGGTCTATTTACTCACATCTCTGCATCCTATTTCCAAGTTATCGCACTTTTTGTATTTTGAGTTATGACATCTTTGCGCATTCTTTGTTTCCAGCAAAGTAAAAAGCCCCCTCTGAAAGTTAAGAATCGCATCTTAGAATGCAGGAAATGGGATTATCTCATTTATCTGCATTGTTTCAAACTTTTTCGAGAATAACGCAACTGGGTATCTAGGAGTCAGAGGAAAGAGCCTGGGTACGAGGTTAAGAGGAATGCCAGGTGTTGCACTAAGGCATTTTCATTTAACCAGGCAATGGACACCGTTGAAATTCCTGCAGAAGAGGATGATGATTGTTTTGAACTTCAAAATATTATGAAAGAACCGAACATGGTGGTACGTACATGTATTTCGAGGATAAAATTTATAACATTTTCCGTACTGTAGCTCTTCGTAATCAACTTGCGAGGTTTGGACAGAAAAATTATAATATCACTTTATATCAAAATACAGCATTGGTAGATCACTGTTTACCCGCAGTCTTGCCATAACGCAAGTTATTAACTTTACTCTGGCTAACGACCGAAGATTTTACTCGACTGCCAATGGGTTATTCTTGGAAACCTGACTAGAGGGAAGAGTTAGAATGCAGATATATTTATTAACAGCTCAATTGTGTGTTATTTAATCGAACATCGTTTGTCGTATTCTTTCCCGTTCTTTTTTACTCGTGTAGGATGTTTATATGAGCTATTCATACAATTTTTAGCCTCCTTGGCGAGGCATACAGTAGCATGATTCAATTCCATCATCTGTTCGTTACTATTCAAACGTTTGCCCACTTAAGGCTACTGGTGTAGGCTAGATGTAGATTAAAAAAACTCGTAAGTTCCAACTATATATCCTTTGAACAGTAGCTTGGCTCTCTAAAGACTTGTCTTTCGGAGCCGGACTATTCAAGGCTATTTCCGTATATCGCACTGAATTTTCCACAACATCTACTTTTGTGTTTAGGCGTTGTTAGAAGCTCATGACAATATTTTAAACGTTCGTAAAGAAGAAGAACGGCAGTCAATGTCTGATGTTGATGACAGATCTGATACATTACCAAAAGAAGCTGTGACCAGAGTGAGGCTGGTGCAATTTGAGAAAACAACAAATGAACCTATGGTATGTGTTCAGAAATACAGTATGTTCCTAATCGCACTAGAAATTAGATATGTGGAGGTTGTCTGCCTTTTATCTTGCCCGATACTCAAAGATTACTCCCCAAAAAAGTCACTTTCTCGAAATATTTGAGAGGCAGACTTATGAAGTCTGAGCAAGTCTCATCAAGCCGCAAATTAAAATCAGCCTTTCTTTCGTGGTGGGTTTTAAAATTTATCTAAAATCTGTTGACCCCCACCCCCTTTATGTCATCTTTAACTGAAATAATTTTGTCTCTTTTAGGGCATCACGTTAAAACGAACAGATAATCGTGTCTACGTTGCAAGAATAATGCATGGTGGGATGATTCACAGACAAGGTTAGCTTTTGTGTCTAACTATGTTGCCATCTCTCAACAATCAGCGTGGTTATAAAGACTCAGAGCGACTTCAAATTTTACTTTTTAACTCCTCCTGTGACAGGTCCAACTACAACCTGAATTCGAATCTGGACTCGTATTAAAATTTAAACCGCCAGGTTTTCGAAGAACATGTAGTCAGTTAACCAAGTTAGCCAATACGGAACTTTGGTGGTACAGGCGTCAGAACAAGTACATTTCCCTGACCTCTGAGATCGCTGTGGACTCATGACACTTATATCAAAAGAGTCTGTCAACGCTCCACCGAAATTCGTGGGTTTTTTCTGGGTACTCTGGTTTCCTCCCACATGGAATGTTGACATGGTGGGTTGGGAATAGCCCAAACTAACCCTTGGTCGTAGCTGTGCTCTGTGATGTGCAAGAGTCATATGATGACGCCCTTCGTCTCGATCACGTTGAGCTGCGTCCTTCGTAGTTCAGGTCATCTGTAAGTGAGGATAATAGCAACCCCCCACTTAAGTATTGGTGTTGTTTGTGTTTCAGGAACGTTACATCCTGGCGATGAAATTCGAGAGTTAGATGGAGAAAGTGTGGAGAATAAATCAATCGAATCCTTACAGTCTATTTTGGTAATCATGCGCTTCGTCTTGCTTTTTTCTAAAACATATTCTATATAGCCGTGTTTACACTAATGACTGACATTTACCCAAGACTTATCTGTATGTGGAAAGTATCTCACTGAGGCCTGACACATATAGCTACGGACCCGAATATTGCAAATTGCACCATTCTATGTGCATGCAAAATGAAGTAAAAATCATCTCTTTCTCTGAATACTGATTTTACTGACTTGAATTTTAACTATATTGTCATTAGGGATGCATCAACCGGATAGCGGTATCCGATATCCAGTAAAATCTAGACATCCGAATGTATCCGGTAACATTTAGTTTGTATTTACCAGATAGTACTGGAACTTTTATTAGAACAATGAAACGGGACTTATTTCGGCTATTATGATGTTTCTAAATATTTAATTAACGAACTTTCTCTTAGCCTCATTTTATTAATAGACATCTTGTGTTTTTAAACCAAGAACAATGCCTTAACATCTATTTAATAACAACGACGTTTCGAAGTTTAGATAATACAATAAACTCCGAAACATTAAATAAATGTTAACCCTTGTTCTTGATTGTTAAAAACACAGAAAGGCTGTTATGATGTTGTTATTTTTATGAATTAAATTTTCTAAAACTTCATGGAGTCACCTTAAATTAAACCTAGCGTTATAGAATGGACTATATGTCTTGTCTTTGATATTGTATTTTTTTGTATTGTTCTTCAAATATAGAAACAAGCTAGTGGCACTGTAACGTTTAAAATCGTCCCAAGTTTCAGACACGAAAATACAGAACGAGGGGTAAATTTTAACTTGTTTTATAACGTTGTATAGTACAGTTTATAATCCCCAACAAATAAATGCACTTTTCAAATATTGCCAAGATTTATAAACTATAGAAAGATGTGATATCATTGGTCCTCGAAACATAGATAGAATTTGAGTCTTGTCATTCCCATCATGCAACATATATTTTCCTTGTTCGCAATTGTTATTTCGAAACAATCCTTGGGAATTTTGCATACTACCCATATTAGAAATCATAAGGAATTTTGCATACTACCCATATTAGAAATCATAAGGAATTTTGCATATTACCCATATTAGAAATCATAAGGAATTTTGCATACTACCCATATTAGAAATCGTAAGGAATTTTGCATATTACCCATATTAGAAATCATAAGGAGTTTTGCCTACTACCCATATTAGAAATCATAAGGAATTTTGCCTACTACCCATATTAGAAATCATAAGGAATTTTGCATACTACCCATATTAGAAATCATAAGGAATTTTGCATACTACCCATATTAGAAATCATAAGGAATTTTGCATATTACCCATATTAGAAATCATAAGGAATTTTGCATACTACCCATATTAGAAATCATAAGGAATTTTGCATACTACACATATTAGAAATCTGCTGCTTTCTATTGAAGCAATTCTACTATTACCAGGGTACTATTAAATCTAAAATTGTATTTGATATCTTTCTATAGAGTTTCGTAAAAGCGTTATTTTCTTACGATCCAAGAGGTGATGAACTTATCCCATGTCAACAAGCAGGCTTGGCGTTCCAGGTTGGCGATGTATTGGAGATAGTTTCAAAAACAGACTTCAACTGGTGGCAGGTAAGGAAACAGACCACATCGTCGTGTCAACTGCGCATCCAAATGGCGTGTTTTGAGCTACTAACATAAAATTACATGATCATTATAATCATATGTGCGTCTAATGTCATTTAAATCAAATTTTGATCACATTGATCCAATTTCAAGATTTGAAAATTTTAACTCTTCCCAAAATCAATGATTATTTAACTCTCCTATTCATGTATCGTTACCACAAAACAGAACATTTATCAATCATATTTAATAATGTATTTGTAAACAATAGTGACATTCACCATTATGAAACTAGAAATGCTTCCAATCTTCACAAAAAGTATAGAAGAACAAATTATGTCATTCATTCTCTTGCTAGTAAAGGTGTTGATATTTGGAATAAGCTTGACTGTCATTTAAAATCAATCAATTCATTGATTGTCTTCAAAAGCAAATTGAAAAAATCTCTATTTGTAACAGATAGCTGTATATATAGTAAATATAATCACTCTCCTATATAAAAACATTTTTAATGTATATTTTTTGGAATTATAGGTATTAGTTATTTTGTACTTTTGTCGTTTATTATTTTTCTTCTTCTAAACATTTGACTGTAAATAATTTAGTTAATCAATACTTTATCAACTAGGGGTCTTAATTCAAAAGCCTGTCCAGGTTTCTAGTAGACCTCTAGGCCTTACATTACTTATTTTACATAATTACTATTCTTGTAAATACTACTGGGCGAAATCATTTAAATAAATTAAAAAATAAATATATGCATCCACGTAGGTGAACATTTGTGCACAGTATATCCCATTCGGCTGATAGAAACTTATTATTTTGTAACACCAGCATATTTTGATTTTTCTTGGACTTAAAGCTGGAGTAATACGAGCAACAAAATTGCTGCAACTTGTAACAAAATCTGATTTCTACACATGTTAATTGAAAATGTTTATCCATAAATTACAAATCACGAGGCAACATGTGTCAACATTTCTACTTAACATGCGTTGAAATCAGATTTTGTTGCTCGTGTAACTCCACCTTAAATAAAAGGTACACTTAAGGGATATTTTTGGATATCGAAATTTATATCACGAGGATAATTGCGAGTAAATAGTCTGCATAGTTTATTTTAAAATTATATCTTATCCAGGCTGTCAAAGTATCAGATAAGAATCTGGCAGGTCTGGTTCCATCGCCTGAACTTCAAGAATGGTAAGGGCAATTGCTGTATTACTTACTCACTTAATAGACAAATTATTTCTAATAGTTTTGTTCACTTACTCCGGTTTCTTCTTGCATTAATTATTAATTAATAAAGGATTGACAAACTGATATACTTACATAGCAAAAAAATAGTTCAAAGTGATGTAAAAAGGGCGACAGTGACAACGTGTTGCTATATTAGGGTAATTGAAATCACTTTAATTAAAATATTTATTTTAGGCGAGTTGGTTATGCTGCTTCGGAAAAAGCGAGAAAAAATCGAGGTATATATTGTAATATATGCTCATATATAGTAGCTATGTTGACCATTGAACAAATGTAAACTACTTGCAATAATACATGCAGCATTTTTTAATTGGCCTAATGAGTATACTATATATGGGGTGAAATTTGTTGTTTATCTTGCAGCATCATGTTTGGGATTTCGAAAAAAGAAACGTTATAAAGATAAATATGTTCTCAAGTATAATGCTGGTACGTTGACGCTCGTATAATACTTTCATATATAAAAATCTTGTTTTGTATTTGTGGGCCATCGTATTTTCTAACTTACTGTTTTTATGGAGGACGTAAGAAATTTGTTTCGCAGTTGATATGTAAATAAACAATTAAACTAAAAATTATACCTATAGAGGTAATAGAATGTGCGTAAATGTCATTAAATTTTTTTATTTCATTATATGAAAATTAAAATTTTATTTTTAATGAAAAACTTAGTGTTCGATCAACTGGATTTGGTGACGTATGAAGAAGTAGTTAAACAGGATAACTTCAGAAGGAAGACATTAGTACTTCTTGGTAAGGTTTCTCTTTCCTTTTATACTTGAACGTGCACGACAACCAGCTAGTGCAAATCACATGCATAGCTGCTTTTCGTATGATCCAAAATTTATATCAGAAACTCAGGAAATGCAATCGTATATATAGTGGTTCGAATATGCAGAATTAGCTATTACATACAGTATCATCTAGAACTCATCACTACTAGAGCTGTGCGGTTAACCGAAAAATTCGGTTCTTCTGGTACTTTTTTCAGCACCGAAAAATTATACGCAAAAGAACCGGTAGTTTCGGTTTTAATTTCCCGTTTAACGCCCGCCAAACGCCCACCTGATTGCAGGTTGAAATGTTTGGAAAATAACAAGATTGTGCTCTTTGTGCACAATATGCACTGTACTAAGTGCTCAAATAGTTGATATTTTAGTTGTGATAGTTATGTTGTGAACTTGCTTTAAATTTTTTTAAAAACTAAGAAATATTTCATCTTCATAAATAAATTCCAATTGTTCTTTTAAAATATTCAGAGATTTATAAAAACTTACAAAGGCATAAATTCATCTATTTAGTAAAAATGCTCGAAGCATACATAAATGAGTTCATACGCATTTGTAATGTTGTTCTCTTTTGAAAATAACCGAAACCGAACCGAGGTTTTTTTGTTCCAAAAAACCCGGAACCGAGATAAAATTTTTGGAACCGCACAGCTCTAATCACTACACCTTGTTATAATATACCATTATATTTGCAGGAGCTCATGGTGTTGGACGACGGCATATTAAGAATACTTTGATCAACAGAAATCCTGGAAAATATGCGTATCCCATACCACGTAAGTCTTAATAAAAACAGTAGCTAATTATAACCCCCATTTTACTGATATAAGGTTTTTTCCAGTTTTATACATAGTACACGCTCGGGGCAAAAAGACGTTATTAGCTAAATTATGTTGTATTCAGCACTAGTACGATTATTACCATTATAACAAATACCCTCTTTTTTCTATTTTTCAGATACGACAAGGCAGGCTAAACCTGGCGAAGAAGATGGCAAAAATTATTTCTTTATTTCAACAGATACAATGTTAGCAGACGTAGAACAGAATAAATATTTAGAATTCGGCAGTCATGAAGGAGCTATGTATGGAACTAAACTTGATACTGTTCGTAATATTATTTCACAAGGAAAGATGCCGTTACTTGATGTGGAACCACAGGTATGGAATATTACTGAATGCAAGATTATTTACAAGTTTTAAGCTGGTTTTCCACGAGCAGATTTTGTTGCACATTTCTTTTGTCGTGTCCTGAATCCTGATTCGTGACCTGAATCCTGATTCTGCTTGAACAATAATTTCTGATCAAGAATTTTCCAGTATTTTATTTGCCAGTGTTTCATTTGCGAACGTGACCGACGACGCCGGTTTTCTAACGTAGAGAATCATGTTGTTTGCTATAATTATTCCGCCTTTTCATGTGCGAAGATGACGTCATTTCAGTGACGTAATATCTTTAAGCCATCACAACTTTATCAGAAGCATCATGAACTAACAGCTTCCTTTGTTTCCTACAGATCATTTTGTCATAAACATTTGGAATTACTCCAGACAATTAAATAGTTCAGTGGTTAGTGTTTCCATATATGGAAAAGGGTTAAGCACATGTATTATTTTGTATTTTTGTGCCTTGAAAATATATTGTTGTTTTGTGTTTGCGAGTGGTTTTAGAGCGAAAATGTAGGTCAAAATCGAATCTTTATTACATGGCGCCCAACGTGGGGCCTCATATCTAGTGGTATCGAGAGCCCAATAACGAAAATAACCGAAAATATTGGCGATTAATATACGATAATACGAAATTATAAACGAAATACACGATGTCTTTGAGCGAAGGTCTTGCACGTTTACGAGCAATTCGAGGCGGTCATCGGGTCGTTTTGACGAAATATTTGAACGAATTAGAGGAACTACTCGCTACAGCCGAAATATCCGAAGAATCTCTTATGCGACTCGAAGTTTTAAAGCAACAAATCGACGGAAAACAAAGGACATTAAACGAACTCGATGCGAAAATATTAAACGAGATAAAAATTGAAGACGTAGAAAAAGAAATCGACGAAAGCGAAGCCATTGACATTAAAGTTACCGTAGCAAGGGAAAGAATCGAACGAGCTAAGAAGCAACATGCGACTCCACAGCATACAAATATTGTCGAAAATAGTCAAAATACGAATGATCATGGTGCGGTTGCTATGGTGACGTCGAGCTCAAATTTCACGAGATTACCGAAATTACAATTGCCACATTTTAAGGGTGACGTGACAAAATGGAACTCATTCTGGGATGGTTTCGATTCAGCAATTCACTCGAACGGAGCTCTCAACAAAATAGATAAGTACAATTATTTAAATTCATTATTGGAGGGCCCAGCTGCTAGGGCTGTACAAGGCCTTACACTCACAGAAGCAAATTATGATTCAGCCATAGAGTTGTTGAAATCGAGATTTGGGAAACCACAACAGGTGATAAGTGCACACATGGACGAACTTCTGCACCTTCCCAACTGTAATCCTGACAAATCGTCATCACTTCGGTTTGTCTATGACAAAGTTAGCATACATGTGCGTGGGTTGGAGTCGTTAGGCGTGTCATCAAAGGAGTATGGTAGTTTGTTGATACCGATTGTAATGACAAAACTTCCCAATGATTTACGAATGAGGATAGCCAGGGAGACATCAGGGGATGTTTGGAAAATTGATGAAATTTTAGAAATTTTGCGAAAGGAAATCGAAGCCAGAGAGGCTAGTGAGCGTTTTAAAGTAGCTGAGCGCCAAAAACACTATGAACCCTCCCCTCGAAAGCCTTTACCAACCATAGGCAGCACCTTATTAAGTCAAGAAGAAGTTCAATTCAAAATTCGCTGTGTTTATTGCAATACCCCTCATTACTCGGCTTCGTGTCCCACTGTGACAGATCTGACCAAACGAAGAGAAATATTAGTTAATGCCAAACGCTGTTTCAAATGTCTAAGGCAAGGGCATGAAGTAAGAGACTGTCGAAATCCAAAACTCTGTCGTAACTGTGGGGGGCGTCACCATCAGTCCATATGTAGTAAGGGTTTCCTACCGCGAAACCTTCCAGAGAAGAATGAGCCAAATAAGAATGAGCCAAATAAGGATGAGCAGAATAAGGATAAGGGTGCAGGTAACGTGGGGAGCAAGGACTCTACACTGACTGTGGGTAATCTAGTAACTAGCAAAAGGCATGTTTTACTTCAAACTGCTCGTGCAGTGGCAACTAATGAAGATGGTTCAAAAACTTGTCCAGTACGTATTCTCTTCGATAGTGGTAGCCAGCGGTCATATCTCACTGATGATTTAAAACGAAAATTGAATCTGAATCCAATCAAAACTGAGACGTTGTATTTAAATACATTTGGCGATTCCAAACACGAAAGAAAATCCTGCCAGTTGTTTAATCTGAACTTACGTGATCGTGATAATGAGATAACCCCGATTTGGGCCCTCAATTTCCCTGTTATTTGTTCACCCTTACCATCTACGGTGGACATTTTTGATTATCAGCATATTCGTGGTCTAGATTTAGCCGATAGTAGTGAGATCCAAGACGACCATCATAGTGACACTGTTGATGTCCTGATAGGGTCGGATCACTATTGGAGCTTTATGTATGGTGAAACTATCCGTGGTGATTCAGGGCCTGTCGCAGTGAGCAGTAAATTTGGTTGGGTTTTATCTGGGCAGACTGAGTTAACCAATGAACGGGGTGTGAGACGAAAGGAGTCATCAGCAAATTTAGTCATTTCTTCCTGTACCGAAGATTTCCTCAATGACAACGTGCCGCAAAATGATCAACTTGTAGACTGTTTGAAACGGTTTTGGGAAACTGAGGCAATCGGAATTGCGGACAGTGATGATCTTAAGACTAACCCTGTCCCTAACAATTTTATCGAAGATATTGCGTTTGATGGTCAAAATTATGAAGTAGGTTTGCCATGGAAGGACAGTTCTTTTCCTGTCTCTAATGGCTACGACACATGTTCAAAACGCCTCCAATCTCTACATCGAAAACTACAAGCAGATCCTGTCCTCCTGAATGAGTATAACAAGATTATTTGTGACCAACTCGAAGCGGGCATTATCGAAAGGGTACCTGAAACAAGCGACTCAAGCAACGAAGAAACACGCATCAATTTCTTACCCCATCACCCAGTTATCCGAAGGGATAAAGATACCACCAAAGTTCGTGTAGTCTACGATGGCTCGGCAAAGGGCTCGAATGATGAAAGATCGCTTAATGATTGTCTTCAAACCGGACCGAACTTTACACCACATGTGTTCGATATTTTAGTTAAATTTCGTTGGAACGCTATTGGCATCACTGCAGATATCGAGAAGGCGTTTTTGATGATAGCGATTAAGGAAGTCGATAGAGATGCACTTCGTTTTTTATGGTTTGATGATCCCAATGAATGTCATCCCAATTTAACTATGTTTCGTTTCCGACGATTAGTATTTGGTCTTCGACCCTCGCCATCTATACTTGGTTTCACTATTAAGCATCACCTTGCAAAATATTCCCAGTCCGAAACAAAGTTGGTCGAAGTATTAGAAAATTCATTTTACGTGGACGATCTTATCACTGGTGAAGATAGCGTCGAAGAATCATTCCAAATTTACAAGGGGTCAAAACAAATTATGGCCACGGGGGGTTTCAATCTTCGAAAGTGGCATTCGAATTCAGACGAACTTCTCGCAAAAATTGAGTCCAACGAACTTGGTAGTGAGAAACCACCCGACCGTAGCCTTATGCAATCTAATTGCCAAACCTTCGAAGAGGACGAGTCTTACGCTAAGTCGACGACCGGACACAATACGATCGATACAGCTGATAATACTGTAAAGGTGTTAGGTGCCAACTGGAATACAAAGTCGGATGAAATATTCTTCAATTTCGAAAGGTGGAAGGAAGAAGCAACGTCACTCCCAATGACTAAACGATCTTTACTTGTGCTCACAGCGAAGATATTTGATCCCCTTGGATATCTTGCGCCTTTGACAATACTGATGAAGGTTTTATTCCAAGTTTTGTGTACGAACAAAGTTGATTGGGACGAAGAACTAACCGGAGATTTACTCAAGAAATTCCAAGCTGTTATTCGAGATATATCACTTCTTCATTCCGTGCGTATTCCCAGATGTTATTTTGACCCTAGATCAAAGCCAATTAATGTCGAGCTTCATGGTTTCAGCGATGCTTCGATTCATGCCTATTCAGCTGTAGTCTATATGAGATCAGTATATGAAAATGGCACAATTCAAGTTCGGTTGGTAGCATCGAAGACCCGAGTTGCCCCGTTGAAACGACAAAGCATTCCTCGTCTCGAGCTTCTCGGAGCCCTCATATTGGCACGACTTTGTGACAAAATTATTAAGGTGCTTGGAGAACTTGTTTGTACCTATTGGGTTGATTCAATGACTGCTCTTTGTTGGATTCGCAATGATAAACTTTGGAAACAATACGTTCAACACAGAGTTCATGAAATTCGTAATTTAAGTTGCACGTCCGCTTGGCAGCACTGTCCCGGGGTAGTTAATCCGGCTGATTTACCCTCTCGAGGACTTGATGCAAAGGAACTAGCTAGTAACGAGGTTTGGTGGAATGGTCCACAATTTCTACGCCAACCATCGAGTGAGTGGCCATCAGAGGATCAAACGATAGAATGTAATGAGGATGCTAAAAACGAAGAAGTAAAGGCCCCACCAAAAATTACGCACGTTTTACTCAACCATGATCCCACGCAAGCTACAGCGAGAATCGACAAGGTAATGACCATTGAACGGTACGGTAGTTTCCAAAGGTTGTTGAGGGTTACGGTTATTGTACTGCGTTTTATCAAGCTATTAAAGTCGAAGATATCGCGAGGACCGCAGGAAAACCGTAACGAAGATGTTAAAGACTTGAATACGGCGGAAGTGTTATGGATACGTGCTACTCAAATATCATGTTTTCCCGAAGAAATAAAGTTACTGAGCGATGCCAGAAAGGACACCACTGGCTCCAGGGATTCAGCATCGAAAATTATCCAGTTTGGTCTGTACTTGGATGAGGCTGGTGTACTACGCCCTCGTGGACGATTGAACGAGTCTTCTCTCCCATTAGATAGCAAGAATCCGATATTCCTTCCCAACAAACAC